GCTGCGGTCGCGTCCGGGCGCGGCCCGCGTTCACCCTAAACCCTAAGCCATTCTAGACTCCAGGTCTCTTGTGGCTTCCTGGAGCCCAGGTGGTCGCAAAGGGGGGTCTCCGCACGCCCCCAGGCAAGTAAGCGACTTATTGGTTTTCAGGGCGGCGACTCTCCTTTGCTGGCCTCCTGCTAAAGCCACTTGTCATGGCCGGCGTTAAATGCCCCGAGTCCTGCCGGGTGCTAAAAGATCTGTGCGTGTGACTCGGGGTCAGACTCTTGTCTGGCGTCGCGCCGAAAGTTTTCTCGAACAGATGGCGGGGCAGATCACCAACCTGGAGGAGACCCTTTCTGACATGCACAGAGCTACCCTTGACTTGAAGGGGGAAATGAACGACTTGCGAGGTGAAATGCAGACGTCCACAGGAGCGCTCATCCGCATCGTCAAGAAAGAGCTCGCAAGTCTGCTCAATCAGCGGCCGCCAGCGTCAGTGGCGGACATCAAGGCCGTCTCCCTCGAGATTCAGCACGTCCGGAACAGGGTTTAGGGTTTAGGGTTTAGGGTTTAGGCAGACGTCAGTCGATGTCAGTCGCCAAGGAGGAGAAGCTCCTCGCGGACACTCACCAGTCCACCCTTGACGTGAGGGTGGAGATGAAAGCCGAGGCTGACAAGCAGGAGAACTCGTTCCTGGCGTACGACACCAAGTTCGACTCGGAGTTCGCCTTCATCAACCAGAGAGTGGACGGCTTGCACTCAAAGATGGACCAGGCGGTCGGTGACATCCGTAATGTCCACATGGTGATCCCTTACCAGCAGAACCTCCAGGCGACGGTGCAATGGCACGCCCAGCAGACCTACAACAGGGGCGGCCAACTGGACGACAGTCTCAACAAGGCCCTGGAGAGCACACGCATGTTGGGCGAAGCAATGGAAGAGCACCATGAATACTTCCGCGAGCCCCTCAAGCAGATCATTGGCAACGTGGAGGAGCTCCTGAGCCGACTTCTTCCTGCAACTACGAGGCCGCCCGCGAGCCAGGCACATATGCCCCAGCGGCATACAACGCTTCGGTGCCAGCGGCGGCTCAAAGCAGCAATGCACAAGGAGGAGCAGCGCCGAGTGACCCGTGCCCTATCAACCTGACGAGCGCCCTGCGCTTCAAAGCTCCGCCGCCCTCACCACCACCGACAACTCCGGCGCCGATGATGTGTGGAACCCCAAACCCTTGACCCGAACCGCTTGCCAGGTACGTCCCCGCTCGCGTTCTCCTCGTCGATGAATGCCGCAGCCTTAGCATGCAGAGGTACGGGCTCCGCCCACACCGCTGTTACGGGCTCCGACGGCGCCCCGCCTTGTCGCGGCGGGAGGCTTCTGGTTGTACAGTCCCAACAGGCCCTCATTGCCCCACAGTGCACCGCTATCTTTATTTGTTATGTACTTTGGCTGTTCTGTTTTTTGTGGGGCTTTGTATGCAAACTGGCAGGGACAAGTAGAGTATGCACAACGATAGTTCATTGCTTACGCATTTTGAACTGGCGTCGCCGCCTTTGCATTCTGTACTGTCCTGAGTTTAATTCACCCCTTGACCTGAGAGACCTGCTGCCTTGCATCCTTGTTGTACTGTCACGGCTGGGAGCAAAAACCCAGGAGCGCCGCGCCGGACTTGGCAGAAGGGAAGGGCAGTTTTGGCGCATTTGAGTTGCCGTCGAGATTTGTCTAACCAGTATCTGTGCTTTGTATGCCGTGGCCGATGTCCTCACACTTACAGTCATGTATCTACATGTTAGACATGTCGTGCCGTGCAATACCCTGCAGTTCAATTTAAACAACGCTGAAGCCCTGGGCTCTACAACACACCTAGTGGACTCCTGACCCGTGTGCTACCCCGACCCATGGAGTCGTCGGTGACCGAGGACTCGCCATATAGGACCCTCTATATGTTCTGGGAACCCTTCGTGGGGGGCCGCATGGACATTCGGGATGTCTGGACTCTCCAGTTTGACGTCTTAGGCACTCTGCTGGCCCAGGTCCTTTGCGCGGCCTTGATGTTCTGCGCACTCGTTTGCTTTAAACGGGAGGTGGGAGCGATGAGGAACGACCTTCGTCTGGAAAGGCAGACATTCATTCAAACAGGATCACCTCGGACACGCCCGGAGTCTTTGCTGGCCTTCTGAGAGAGGATGGGGAGAGAAGACACAAGGACCTTAAGGGATACATATAGGGAAAGAGCTTGAAGAGTCCAAGGAGAGATTCTTGACAGTCCAGGCTGCTAGCTGTCATCAACAAAGCCCATGCTTCAAGAAATTTCTGAGAAGTTGCAAACCATTCTGCACCATCTCGATGACATCAAGGACAGCTTCGACGAAGGCATTCCAAGGAGCGAGTCTGCTCTTGAGTCAGCCAAGACGCCAGCACTACTGAGGCAACGCAAGGCCAACGACGGCAGTACCACTAAAGTCGAGTCCGGTAGCTGCCCCTCGCCACCCAAGGCGGTCCTGACCCTAATTGCGCCGGGACCCTGTTGCTGTCTCTGGCCAAGTTGAAGCTTTGCCTGACACATAAGAGCCTCCTGTCCTTTTGCTCGCGTGCTAATGAATTCTTAATTCGCCGTGTGCTGTGGGCCCACCCTTGAACTGCCTTCGGGCACCTGTAATTAGGTACTTTCTGCGAGCTTGTAACTGCGAAAATGCCCGAGACCGCCAAGCCCTGATCCTTCTCGGCTAAACTTGGCCTAGGACAACATGAGCACATGTCGGATTGGTGCATGTCGGAGTAGTCAGCGTTGCACATGTAGGCCATCTGACTCATACACACGCGCACGTACTCCTCAAGCCCGCCACGCAGCCCTTTTGCTCCATGTCCTAACGAAAACAACGCAGCAGGTTAGGTCGGGTCATGTTGTCGTGTGCTCAGGTGGAGTCACTTGCGCAGGAGATGCTCTCACAACTTAGGAATAATCCAACCAACGAGCCACTGGACCTCCTCGACATACTTGACAGCATCCCTGCTAAGTTTTGGAGCCCTCCCCCTAGACCACACGGCTGCATAGTGTTTGGTTTATCCCCCCGCGCAGCCAACTGCGTGACCCTGCCCACAAAACAACTCCCGTACCTTACGAAGCTCCTTGCTGAATATGTGCACAGAAGACTTCCGGAAGTATCTTTCAGCACCATTGGGGTTCGCGTGGACGGCAAGAGTTTGTTTGTGGATTGTGACAACCCTTCGGTGAGAGTGTTGTGTCGAGTGACTTTAGGATTCGGGATCGGGAAAGAAAGGCGTGACTTGTGACTTCTGGGCGTCCGGTACGGGGAAAAAAAGCGTTTGGGCATCGGGCGCGGGAAAGCGGTGCGGGTAAAAAAAGCGTTTGGGCATCGGGTGCTGGAAGGCCCATTGCGATTCTGGGGTCGTAGGAGCGTGTGGGGTTCTCTCGGGAATGGGTGGCATGCCACTTTTCGCAAGGAGCATCCTCCTCAGACGGGATGAAAGCAACAGGTGACAAGCAGGAGAACTCGTTCCTGGAGTTGCCATGACAGCGGCTTACGGACAGATGGCCCTGACAAAGGCCAACTTTCCTGGCTCGCGACATGCAACCACCGTCAACAGGGCGGAGCCGCTATCTGACAAGCTTGGGGCAGCTTTTCGAGTAACCCTGCGCATCCTCATTTGCGCCTAGTGCCAGAGACTGGGGACAAAAGATGCGAAGACGAAGGCGTCTCTCTGCCGTCTCTCTGCTCTACTGGTATTTCTGCTGCAATCACACGAGCTCAGCTGAGGGGACCGCCCAAAGATGTACAGGAGATGTGACCCACGTATCCCATCCCTCGATGTAGGCATGGGATCAGTGGCATGATCTCGCAACTAAGGGGAAGCCCGTGTAGGCCATGAGACGGATGTGGGTTGGGTATGTGTTGGCGAGCTCTTGAAAGGGTTTCTTCTGTCCCTGGGTACGTGCTGAATCTGGCCTGCAGGCATAGAGTCGTTGATCTCTGTCTCCGCACTGATATGTACAGAATTTTCTGTAACTAATTTGGCATGTGATAAAACTGCGGTTTGACAATTCGCTCAAGCGAGCGTGCACCTCCTGATTTATGGAACTAGTGAACTGAGAAATGGATCTGGAGAGAAGAGGTAAGGTGTAGCCGCGTAACCTGTGGTTGTGGCTATCTGTCTAGGTTCATGCTAGATGCTTCTTCTGGGTTCTCTGGCGAACTTTCTCTCTGGAACCACCCTTTGGAGTAGTGGTAACCCCGTAGACAAACATCCCGCCGCATGGTTTATTGTCGATGAATTTGTGTTGAAGTTGTGTTTTCACCACAGTTTTAAGCATATTTCAAGGTTGTTTTGGGTGCTACAAAAAAGTGCTGCGTTATGCTGGAATTCTAGCAAACGTGTGGTTTCAGCACGAGTTCGGGTGACAAATTAATCTCTGCGACATCGGACGGTACAGGTCAGGAATTCCTCGTTATTTACAGGGCTTAGCGTGTTTTAAGCTTGAAACTAGTGATTTTCGGCGGGGGCGGAATTTTATGTCTTGGGCCTTATTTTCGGGCTGAGGGACTATCTAGTTGCTGTTTGTGGGGTTGGGTGAGTAGCGCCTAGGGCGTGTGGTGTTCAAGAATCTCAATCTTGTGATTGTCCAGCAGGCTGTGATTGACATAATGGCTACTGACGCCTCAGCAAAGATGAGGGGCTTAACCAGATCAAAAGTAGCGCTTGAACTGAAAGCGGACAGAACGATCTCACTGGCTGGGCATGCGAAGCCTCCTTATGTATGCAAGCAACATCCAGCAGCATCCCCAGGTACAACATACAACATCAGCCAGCACGACCATCAGCATCCCCATGTACAACATCATCCAGCACCACCATCCCCCTGCAAACTTCATACTTACATCATCCAGCACCAACATGAGCA